TCTATCTATTTGCCCTCTGTCTTTGTGTGCAGCTCACTAAGGAGGTCTCTGATGCAGACATTTGAGCAGAGAAATATTTGGAGGCAAAGCATAAGATTTTTTTTGTGGTTTTTTGTGTGGTTTTTTTTTTGTTTGGTTTGGTTTGCTTTTTGGGGTTTTTTTTTTTGTTTTTTTTTTTTTTTGTTTTGTTTTTTTTTTTTTTTTTGTTAAAGAGATATTGGAGTAAGGGGGAAACAGTGAAGGGAGGCAAGGGTAAATCTGGGCAAGTCTGTAAAAATAGGGTGGGGGAGTTTTTGTGAGGACAAATTCCATAGTGACTACAAACATCTCATTTATTTCAGCTGACACCTTCTGAGTAGGTACATGGTTGCATATGTAACACTTCCTCATAGTTTTCCCCCAGGACACAGTTTTGTTTTCACTCCCAGTGCTGTGAATTTATAACTGAGGCATCATTTGGGTTATTGTCTGCCATAGGAACTGTATTTTCACAGATGGCTCACCTTCCTTGCCAGATGTCTGTTTTTTACAGTGTCCTAATAACTACTGCATATGCTAACTTCATTCTGTATATTATAAAAATATTGCCTTTAAGGGACAAATCTTGTATTTTTCAGCTATTTTTGTAATTACTGAAAAAACTCACCAAATCATAATTTGGATTCACCAAGCACTTGCAAGCTGGAAATCAGCTATGAATTCTAAAAAATGAATGCTTCTGGGCCATTGGACCTGAAGCAGTGGAGGAGGCAGGCAGGAGACATGAATTACTAGATTAAAATCCTGTTTGTGACAGACTGTAGATAATTTTGCAGCTATATGCTTCCAGATCCCATTTTAGTCTTAGAAATCTATGATTCACCTTCTGAACAACTTCCACACAAACATCGCAATTATCAAACAAACCTTTAATTTATTGCTTTAAAAGATTACAGTCTGGAAAACCAAAGGAAACAGACAATGCCTGGGGGGGCTGAAGAAAGAGCGTGTAAGCAGCACAGATGGGCTTCAGTGATATTGTTGAGCATCATTGCCAAATCCAAACATTTCAAAACTCTGAGTCAGGCACCAAAAAAGTCTTGAAATTTACTTACAATTCACGAGATGTGAAAAATAACTTCTTTCACTAATGCCTGCATTATAGTGCAGGCATATTCCCTGTCCAACTGCCTGTCAGCTGAACTCGCCCAGCAGTTGTTGGGTCCATTGGCTGTACCAACTATGTTTGAGTGAAGAGCAGAGAGCTGAATGTTGTTGGCTCCTTAGAAAAATGAGTGGCTGGGCTGGTGATCAAGGAGAGGAAGGCAAGGATAACTGTGGCTTTGTTTGCACTGGCCGAATTGCCCTCACCTGTGCATCTCTGTGCATCCCACCTGCAAGCCAGGCAGGTCAGGAGTGGGAGCTGTAGACCCTGTGGAGCTGGACATACTGAGCAGCAAGGGGATAGCTGAGGAAACATGAAGGATCTCATTCAAAAGGCAGAGGAAGGATGCAAGCCAATGCAGCTCTATACCACAGGGTACGAAGAAAGCTGCGGGCATTGTGGCAGCGAGGTGTGCCAGAGCCCAAGAGCCAGCTGGAGCTCCACAGCCACAGAAGGCTATCAATATTTTAGTCCCAGATGTCCATGACAGGGATCAAAGCACAGGGTCTCATTAGCCCTTCCTCACACAACTGCTCTGAAGGGTTTAGTGCCCCCACACCCTTTCCTGTGCCATTGGATGCCTCCTCCACAGCACACCCAGGGGTTGTTGCTGCCTTGTGATTCACTAGCGCATTTGCCACACATTCATGCAGCTATACCAAAACTTGCTTCAGATTAAAATAAGTTAGTGAAGGTAAAGTGGTCTGGAAGAGTGGTAGAAGAGAGCAGGAGACAAGGAGGCAAATGGAAACCTCCTCGTGCTGAGATGTTACCGTGACATGCCAAGATACCATGAAGTAAATCCTGGAGATATTTCTTTACAAATCACCAGTTCTAACCCAGCTAAATCTTTGTTTCTGAAACCTGTTTTTTCCCCATGCCTTCCATGATGGGAGATGAGTGTTTTCTCTTCATTTTCCTGTTTACAGTTCATACCATTGCAAGTTCACCAGCTCCATCAGCCTGAGGAAATCTGAATTCCTCCTCCTGGTCCCCCACTGCAACAACTGGTGCATATCAGCAGAGAAGAAACACGGTTCTCTGGTGGTGAAGTCCCTAGGCTATGAACACATAAAGATTTGTCAGTCTGGTGTCTTTCAGCAGCACACCTTTCTCACGTGGATTACAGCATCCTGTTGCTTACTTTATTTTGACATATTTTGAGTTTCTGTCTTCCAGAGCATTCAAAGAAATTTTTTGAAAATAAACAAAAGAGGTCTAATTGGAGCATATCAATCTCAAGAAGCTGTAAAAAGTTTTCACTTATAAAAGGCATTATGTACAGATCTGATACCAAGAGTTGTGTAATGCTGTTATGTTTTCTCACTTGCTGTTATATTTTCTCACAGTATAGGGGGCTGAGGAATCTGCCCTTAGACCTGGAGTATGGCTACAGTGCTGTGCAAACAGTCCTACTAACATCCATCTGTCACACATCACCCACCTTTTCCACTCCTACACTAGGTTCATCCCCATCCCTTTATCTCGGAGAGAATTGACCTCGGAGAAGCTCTGTCAGATAGGTAATGGCTCATAGTCAGCTCAGTTCCAGCAGTAGTACATAAATCCAAAATAACTCAAGCAGTGAGCAGAGATGTTTTAAACTTGCTTCATTGTAGACAGGTAAAATGTCGTGGCCATCTCAGGATTTAATAGATATCTTGCTTTCAGTTTGGATGCAATCATTGTTTACAGATTTTTGCAGTGACCCCCTGTGATTATCTGGACTGTTGTCCTCCTTTATACATCATGTTTACCAGATTGAACAAGCTCTAAAAAGTATGCTGGAACTGTGGAAGTGAAGACTCCCCTATGCTACAGCTGAGGCATGTTCAAAGGATGATTTAATAGAAACTCTATTTCTATAATGAAAACAAATAGACTTTAAAGAGTTTAACTGGAGTTCATAAACAAGTACAGGCTCACTGACAGCAGCAAAGTAAAAGGATGTGTCTAAAAGCATTCAAGACCACATGTAATAGGATGGATTGTGATAATCTGATTTAAAAAAAAGAAAATGTGGACTGACTGGCTAGCCATTACTAGACATTCAGTTGATCTTGTCTGTTCCACGGGTTTTACATATATTTGTATATTAATACTCATAATCATATCCTCTCCCTTATTTTGTCTCCTTTCTATAGTTACTGATGCTTTTCCTTACAGTGGTGTTCCTGTAAATGATAGAAAGACAGAAATTATAGATATGAAAGAATGATGATTTCTCAGCAGTTCCAGCCTGTTTTCTTGGGTTGGCAGCTTAATCAGGAAATGTGATGCTGTTCCAATGCCAGTAAACTATGCTGGGAATCGTGCTGATATTTCTCAGGCTATTTTAAAGTCTAGCCCTCTCTCAAAAACTTGTGTCTTGCTACAGAGTGGTTGGGCTGTGGGTAAATGTGTGACAAGTTGGACCAAGATGACAGCAAAGTCCTACAGAATATTTGCAGAAATCAAACCAACTGATGACTTACAATGAAGAATTTCCTAATGTCAGACATGGGCTGAGATTACCCATTAGGAGGAAGAGACAGAGCCTATCCCTAGTGGAAAGGGCAGACAGACAGGCTCTCTAGTGGAAAGTCAGGATGCAACAAAAGCAAAAGAAAAGTGAGCAAAAGCATGTCACATGTAGGTAATTCCATGTGATCTTGCATTGTATGGATGGCGAGTGAAAAGACAGGAGAAATCCATGTGACATGGAAATACTGAGAAGTCAAGAGACATTGGCAAGGGATAGACAGCTAGCAGAGACTAAGATCTGGTATTTTCTTGGCCATAGTCAAGCCCCCACTGTATTCAAGGAGGTTTTGCCATGAATTTCATTACTCATGGGTTTACTCCCAAGAATTATCGTTTCCTATATTCCTATTACCTTAGTCAGCACTCTGTTTAAAACCATACAAGGCTGTTTTCTGCACTGAGAAAAGAAGTGCGACGTGTGATGAAATGGTAAAATAAACATTCGTTTTCTTGGCTCACCTCCATAATATGTATTCCACTTCAAATTAAAAATTAAATTGAGCCTCTCGGTGTGACTGTTCAAGCATCTTGCCCAGCCATCCATCTCCCAGCTGCACAGTGTGCCACTTGGATCTTGCTGCCAAGTGTAAGCACTTGAACATTCCAAGCCAGGTGATTACAGCATAAAGACTCTTCTAATTTGTATTATGCTCTGAGTATTTTTTTATGTAGATGATGCTCAATTTATTCATTTCAGGGCTGTATATTTGCAGGCTCCAACTCTGTTTAATAGATTAGTTACATTATTATATAAAGAGCCTGGAAGCCAAGAGCCTCGCAATGTGAGTGGCAGAGCCAGGAACAAAATTAAGGCACTCCTTTAGAATCCCAAAATCACCCCACAGCCCTTCCTGCTTTTACTGTATTATAAAGCTAATATTTTCACCTTAGAACCTACTACACTGGCCCCTTGTTTACAGCACTCATAATCCCCTGGGATACTGTTTGAAAAGTTTTAACCTGTACTTGGTTACTGACTGTGTAGTAAGGAAAGTTAAAACCATAAAAGCAAAGCATGTGTTTTATGTGAGTTCTTTCTAAGATTTTAAGTTAAAACTTTCCTTGATTGGAGGTAGTATGAAAAACAGAGGTCAAAGAATGACTGTGAATAACAAAAAAAAAAAAGTCTACATGATTTCATTCTGTTATACAATGCCAACATTTTTCCTGTTTGTATGTCTGTATTTTGCAGTATTTGCTTTAAAGTCGTTGTCCTCTTAGAAAAGTAAGATAATGAACAGATTCTATTGCTCCATTTCAAGGAAGGAAACAACAAAGAAAAGCCAACTGTAACACCAGATTATATAAATAAAGGCAATCTTTACTGACAGGGTTCTGATCCAAATATTTATTTAGTTCCTAACTCATACAAAATTGATGCTTGTGGAGGTATTAGGTTAAAAGGGTTGGAAAATTAATTCTTCTAATTATCCACAGAGAACATACAATACTGACGAAGCAATGAAAACCTCTTTGACTTGAATAAGAAATACATTACACATAATTTACAGAAATAAGATCTAGTGTCATATAGAAAATGTCGTTTTAGAGCAACAGGATCAGCAAGGACATGGATACTTGTTGTCTCTGCTGTGGCTGGAACGGGTCACCTTCACCCAGGTTCATCCAGTAGAAGGGGAGGCTTCCCTTCCACAACTCCACACAGGAAACTCAACTATTTCCATTGCCAGGCATTTCACCTGTTTGCTTGCCAGTCACCTCTCTCCTCAAGGCTCATACACCATCCACTTCTTGCAAGATCATAACACATTTTCTACACTAATAAGTTTGGCTGGATTCAGACCAGGGACGTACATGTAAAAGACTAAAAATAGAAGGAGGTTCTGTTCTACTAGAAATTTCCTTTGCAATCAGATGTAAAACTTGGCTTAGGGGAAAAAATGTTAGATACCTGAAAGAGATGAATAAGTCAATCCTGGATAAAAGTAGTTCTAACTTTTAACATAAATGAAAGTGCTATTAAAGCTTTGTATATGTGTCATGCCAAATTCTACAGAGATGAGAAATGTAATGAAACAGTATCTAAGTCATTATAAATTTTGCTATTTACAAAAAGAGGAAAAAGAATATTTCCTACATAATTTGTCATGTTTCCCTTCATATCTTGCATACTTATTAAAATGCAGGGTTTCAATAGAAAAATATGAACGTGCAGAGATAATAACCACAAGAAAGGAAAAAAAGCAACCAAATTCTATAACTCGATTTAAAATAATTCAGTCCTATATAAAGAGTCAAATCCTGTTCTTTTTTCCTCCATACATTAAAGTTGCACTCCTATTCATAACAACAGAAGAAAAAAAGCACAGTTGCTTCATAACACTGGACATTGCTTTCCAGAAACAAGATAGCAATTACTCAGAAATGCTACGGAAAACATTAATCACAGAGTAACTTGCTATTTACATTAAAGATGCAGCCACTAAAATTAAATTTTAAAAAAAAGGGTTTTTTTTTCATCATAGGACAGTTTTGTCAGTAATGTGAAGTCTCTGTTCTTTGCTTTTTGTCCAGCATTTCCTTTGAGATATATATCTATAAACTTACAGATATATACATCTGAGAGAGATGTATCAAAAGTTAAAACATGTCTGCACGGAGAGCCCGGCAAATTTTATCTGAAGCTACAATTGCAGTAGACAAACCCCCAAAGAAAAAAATGCTGGAATGATATATTTTAATGAAATGACATTCCCTGCCCGTGATCCACGTAGGAACCTAAGTGCCTCAATCCATAGAAGCAGAGCTAACACGAGCAGTGCAGGTTCCCCAGTGCCACCAGGCTGAAGCACCTGGCCCTCGCGGGAGGCAGTGGTTTCCATCCCTGTGAAGACTGCTAGGACAGGTACAGAGCAGGGCCAGCAGTGGTGATGTGGAGCTGTCACCCTCCGTGTGGGCTACACATGGGATCCCAGTCCTTCCAGTCAGTGCAAGCCACTCCTGTTGATGCCAACGGGAGCTGGATGAATCCCCAGGGCAGCAGCAGGCTCTGAGATCAGGAGTGCAGCACGAGGCATCACTGATGCTCCAATACAGTCCCAGCACAGCCATCACATCACCCATCAGCTCTGTTCTCACCAGGCTCTACAAAGGGAGTCACTGCTGTCCTGCTTCTTCCACGGAATGGCTGAACCGGACAGGAACTATTGAGCCCCACAGCACTTCTTATTCTCACACATGTGGGATGCTAGTGGCCAACCAGCTCCAATTCAGAACCAGGAAAATCCAGCCGGAGGATTTGCCCCCTAACAGAGCAAAAACAGTCTGTGCCTCCATCAGTCAGCACTCAGCTGTCCAGTCGTCATTGTCACTCGTCAAAACCAGTGCAAATTCACAGGAAAAAGAATGTCCGCATCGAGAGGGTAAAAATCCTTCCTCGTGTTCAAGAAAGGTACAAGCATTTACCCAGCATCTCTATCAAATATTGTAGAAAAGGTTACACAAAAATATTTAAATATATGGATACAGATACATAGATATTACACTTGCATAAAATATGTATATTCAAAACCCTTTGGGCAGTTTCACATTTAGCTGAAAATGTATGCTTTAGAAATATGAACAATTTCCTACTCTTTTCTAGTTTAAGTAGGAGGGGAAAGAAGCATCAGCCTTATTAATACTGAATGCTAAGTGCAGAAGTTTAGCTGTAGCTGTAGGGTTTTGAAGCAATTGATTTGACAGAACCTCCAAGCATAAACTCGGTTTTAAAAATCCACATCTATTCCCTAGATTGCTTATTGTTTCATGAAAATGAAAACCTATGTGTCCTGCTTGTATCAGCTAGATCTCCTGAGACCATTCAATTAAACCTCATAAGCTTGCAATACCTCAAGATAGGGCTGTGTACTGGGAATATGCATGAACCTTATTGCAGTAATTCTGTGTGATAATAGGAATTTACAACTTCTCATATCTTGTCTAATTTAACTTTAGAAATAAAAAACCTTAGATGACACCACAAGAAGCTCACAGTTCTGCAAAAATTAAAGTCAGTATAAATTTTACTAATAGACCATATAATTTACACAGATTTACATAAATACAGAGATATTAAAATATTAAATCAAAGCTAATTAACAAAGAATAGAGTTTTACATGATAATATTTTAACTCTAATCACACTTTTGCAACTACTTTCAGTGGTATGAGATTATATAAATAATACATATACCTGTATATCCTTAATATATATAAAGATATATATATCTATCTCTCCATCCTTCTTTTTTTTTCTTCAAAAATAGGGCAATTTTATAACTGCAATGAGATGTGACAAGCAGTACACTTCTGGGGAATTATTGCATGCCTTGAGTGCATAAGGCAGAAGGAAGAGTATCTGACTTCAGACACTAAAGAAGTGGAATCATCAACCAGAAATGCACAGGAGTGACTTGGAACATCTTATTGCTTTTATAAAACTCGAAATTATACACTGTTGGTTTAGGATGGGGTGGGGGTGGTTTAAAGGCACAAAATAAAGGGGAAAGTAATACCTCTCTATTTAGTGGAGATCAACGGTCAGGAAGCTCCATTAGTGCTTACTGAACACTCCTCATTGTCCTAAATCTATTCCCTGTGGTGCAATACTGTGCCGCAGTTGCATAAGGAGGTTAAACACAAAAGTTCATGCATCCTTTATTAGGGGGAAACAAAACAAAGACAATTTCCTTGCCCAGCAACAACGAAGTACCCATTATAAGCAAGAGCCAGCCGTGGCTCCCGCAAACATCCCTGGCTCGGTCGCACGCACGGCAGCTCTCCACACTAACCTCAGCAGGTGGAGCGGCTCCTTGGGCTCCCTGGTACGGCTCTTCCCTAAAGCGATGGAGGGACGCATCCAAACTTAACAGCTATCTTTCCCATCACACCAGAAAAGATCAGGAAGCGAGCAAACTGGTAACAGAAATACTGCCCTGAAATCTCTGCATTTTGGGTGTATTATAGGAGTATAGAGGACTTCTGCCACTCTCCCAGATTAAAACTGGTTAATGACATTCACCCACATAGTACAGCTCCAGACCTCCTGGTCTACATGTCTGGGATTTTTTCAATCAGCCACCCTGGCAGACAGAGGATGTCAGAGAAGAAATACAAAGGATACAGAATATTAAAAACTGTGGGCTATTACTATATCCTCAAATCACTTTAAATTATGGAACAGAAAGAAAAAAACCAAATAAGTCCCTCAGGATCACTTTTTCTTTGCTGCAATTTTTAGATGTTAGTATGCACAGTAGAGGGCTGCCTCTGCTACGATATCATACTATATGTTTCAAAGTTTGGATATGGCATGCTCTTAAGGCACCTTCAAGTAATGGTCATTGATTTGATCACTAAGCAAAGACACATTTTCTGTAAACCACACTGCATCCTCCAACGCACACAGTACCAGCAGCCACTCATACCCGCCATCCAGAGACAACAAAACTCTCTGTGCTTGCTAGGGATAAACTACAGCACTTCTAAGCAGCCACTTCGAAAATAAATATCTGCCAGGGTTTGGGACTGGACGTTTTCAACTGCATTGTTTCCCAAGAGAGGACATACGATAAAATTAAGTGTTGTCTGTCCCTAATTGTCTACAATACTAGGAGGGTTGAAAATACACATCAGCCTAAAAAAGTAGAAGCAAGATCTGTACTGCTGCAGGATTCCTTGCTCGGAGACAATGCTGTAAACGCAGGCATTCAGTGCAGGGTGCCTAGTGCAGAATGGATTGTTTCAGAACCAACAGGAGGTACAAAGACAACCTCCCCTGGGAGGGCACAGGCAGGTTCTGCACATTACCCCTCCCTTCCACATAGAACAGTACTGGGTTTGGGTTTCAGGGTTCATGGCATGGGGAAGGGGGTGCTTTTCAAGATGAAGGGAGCTGATGGGAGAGGAAAGTTCAGGCACCACTCTATGCAGACAGCTGATTTCATCCTCCAGGTAGTGAGTTGGTCACTCCGTGCTGCAGCTGGGGGCACAGGGCTGTGGGGTCGGAGGATGTTTGCAGTTAAGTCCAACTAGGGATGGCCATTTCTACACCAAGCATTATCCATTTCTAGAAAGGAATGAGAGGGGTGGGACAGGGGCATAGATCCCAGCACAAAAGGAGAGACCACAGTGTACCACTAGTCTGCTCCAAGACGACAGAAGAGTCCCAAGGCACCCAACAGACCTGCCTCTCCCCTCACATCCCAACCCACATCATGTAACAATGACACAGGGCGCAGTGGGAATCCCAAGAGCAGTGGGAAACCCAATTATCCCTACACTTGGGGTAAAAACATCCAGAGAAAAGGGATCCCCTACCCCTGACCCTCTCGTGCAGGTGGATGACTTGATATTGAGTAGCTGTGTGCAGCTCCTTCTCCAGTAAAAAGATGCATCCTTTTCTCACACAGTCAATGAGAAACGCAATGTTATCTGTCATGCGCTTGGATCGTGAGCTTGTTCGTTCATTTGAATTAGCAACGCTTTCTTCTTCTTCGGGGACTAGAATAACCACTCAGATATTTACAAACATCAATCAGTGCCTTTGCGAGGTCTCCCCCAAACCATCATGACAAAATCACCGTCTGCAGTAGCCCCACACCAGCTGTGTCCAAACAAGCCTGTGCTTGCTGAGAGGTGGGGGCTGACGAGGGAGAGGAGCGCTGGATCTCCAAGTCCTGGGGGGGTCTTCCCAGTCGGCTGTCTCTTCCTTGGGGTGCCTCTCCCTGCACCACTGTCCCAGGGTGCTGGCTGCTGCTATTGCTGCTGCGGGCACAATGGTCCCGTTCATACTCCTCCTGAGCCTTTTGCATTTTCCGCTTCTTCATCTTCCTCTTGTGGATGTGGAAGGTGGTGAGGGAGAGGAGGATCAGGCAGAAGATGAGGGTGACCAGGACAATTAAAACCAGGGTGGATGAGAAGGACTGAAAGAGTTGACCCACTTGCGTGATGCAGGTGCTGCTGGTATTTAAGGTGCCAGATGTCCTGTTCAGAAGACAAGGCGGCAGGGACAGTCTCAACTCTTTGGAGAGCTTGGCACTCATTGAGGAGGCTACGGAGGATGAGGATCTTCCTCCCCTCTCCGAAGACGTCTAAATTTCAGTCGGTGTCGGGCTGCTGGCGGGCGCTTGCTGGAAATGCCCGGGATGCTGCCGGCACAGCCTCTCGCTCGCTCTGAACTACCCGAGCAGCCTGCAAAGGGAGCCGGACACATCAGCGCCCCGAGGCACCCACCGTGCGCAGCTCCCCCGCCCCAAACCCGGCTGCGGCAGCCTCCGCCCTGCGCCCCGCGCCGAGCGGCCCCGGCTCCCTGCCGGGGGGCGGCGGAGGGGCGCCGGGACGGGGCGCCGCGCCGCCGCTCCGACTTCGCCAATTCCTCGGCGCCCCGGGCAGCACCGCCCTGCCGCTCCCCCAACTAGTTGCCGCGGGAAAAGAAGCGAGGGAGCGGCGGCCGGGCGCCAGAGCCCCGCGGCGCGACGGCTGCGGGCTGCCGGAGCCGAGCGGGTCCTGCCCCGCCGCGCCGGAGCCGCTGCCCGCCCCGGAGCCCCCCTTACCTGCGCGGCGAGGGAGCGCCCGGGCGCCGCGGGCGCTGGGGGCTGCGGCAGCGCGGAGTGAGCGCAGGAGCGGAGCCGCCGCCGCTTCGGGGAGCGCCGCCCGCAGCTGCAGCCGCCCCGGCCGCTGACGTCAGGGCCCGGCCCGCCGGCCGCCGCCCCGCACGGCCCCGCGGCGGCACCGCCCGCGCCCCCGGCCCAACGCCGCAGCCCCGCGCCCTCCGCCCGCGGCTCCCGGCGCCGCGCAGCCCCGCCCTCGCCGCCCCGCTCCGCTGAGAGCGGCCCGGAGCCCCTTCCCCAAAGCAGCCGGGCGTACCGCCCAGGCACCGGCTGCAGCCCGCCGCTTCGCCCCGGCCCCAGCCACGCAGACGCGCCGTGGCCAGAGCGCCCGCACCGAGCCCGCACCCCGCGGCTGCCCTGTGCCCACCCGCCAGCCGCGCTCCCACCGTACCACACCCGGGTGCCGGGCGCCCGCGGTGCCAAAGCCCCGTCCCTCCGCACAGTCAGCGCACCCATCCTTGCTCGGGGAGGCTGGTGTCAATCTGTGAGAGCGAGGCAGTCCAGAGACTCCTGGTACGAATACGTGTGAAAACTTGCCTTAGCAATGCTTAGTGCATCACAGGCGTTTTAGTCAAGAACAAACAGGTATGAGCTGCCCATTAATGCACTTAAGCCAAAAATCGGATGATTTCTAAACATAAGAAAATCTATTATTTGAAAAGTTCTTTCAGAAGTGCTAACAGGGCAGAAAAAATAATTACCATTAGGATGGAACTCTTCACATTTCCAAAAGGAACAAACTGGTGTGGTAGTGTCTGGCAACATGGGGCAAGATCTGATGGCCAGGAGGTTCCGTTGGTTCCGTGTGATGTGCTCTAGACTAACCCCATGTGCTGGAAGGAGAGCTGCTATAAAGCTCTGGTCTAAGTTACAGGACGATAAAAGAAAGAAGAAACAGAAAGTATCCATCCTTTCTAGTGGCTGAAAAGCCTGGAGGAAAATCTGTACAGGGTAAGCTGTGACACGAGTTGGAAAAATCTTCACTCAAGAACAAAGATCTGTTAGATCTGCTGACCCTGATAGCCAAGAGCCTTTCACAGGGGTGGACAGAATCTGGCTAGCTGAGCATTTAAGCACTTTGCTGCTTCAAGGCAGATTTCTTCTGTACTGTCTTTTGTCTCTGATAAGTAAATGCACCACAGCTTGTGAAATTTGTCACTATTAGCTCTGTCATTGTTCTGGCGAAAGATTTACACCGCATAGAATGAGCTACATTGAAGATGGTTGGAATAATCCCAATCATTTGCATAGGGACTCCAACTTAATGCTTCCTCTAAAACCAGAGGAAGAGGGGTTTCTATTACTCCTTCCCCTCCTCAGAATAATACAGCTTGATGATGGAGTGGTACTGCACAGAGAGGGAAGATGTTCAGTCCAGTACTGAGAGACAAGCCCTTGCCCACTCATTTGCCCACTGCTCCTCTCACTCAGCTCCCTCAGGTGCATAGCCAGTGTCACTGCTTAAAACATGCCTCCCCATGCAGTGGGGCTGGACTTGGTAAGTGTTAAAAATCTGTTACAACCCAAATCATTATATGATTCTATGATTCTCAGCCCAGCATTCCTTGCACACATGTCCAACCCCTCTCACACACACACACATCCATAGCCTCAGTGGCATTCTGCCGGCATTTTTTTCCTTCCTCCTTGCCTTCCTCCAGTGTGCACATCTGAGGTCTGCATTAATCAGTGCTCTGTACTCACTGCCTTAGAGGAGAAAACAACCACCACAGACTGAAACAGCACATCAATCCTCAGGCCATTCCCTCTTTCATCCCACTATTCTTTGCAAAGCTGCAGCTGAATAGAGGGGCAGCAAAATGGGGTGAGGGGCATGGGGGCCAGCCACTCATCATGGCCTGTGCCACTGGAGAACACTTCTGATCCCACACAGAAGCAATCAAGGTACAAACCAGTAGTGCTGTGCTCCCTGACCAGGCTCCACTGAATCCTTTCAGCCTAAACTGAAAGTTTAGGGAAAAGGATAGCTTTAATCCAAAAAGCATGTGCAAATTTGTGAAGGTGTAGCAGTTGATCTGAGGCTGCTGTTTTAGAAGTTGCTAGATGATTAGAAAGAATTCATTTTAAAAAATCCAAGCAACACCATAAGAATGGCCTTTTGCACAGAAAACAGTATTAGGAGATATAATAAAGGTATGAAGATACCTTAGAATGTTAGCCCTGTTTATGGCAAAAATAACCAAACTGGGGATTGGATAAAGTCCAAAACCAAAGAATTTATCCACTTGAGATGTGTTTATTGCAAAAGTGAATAGTTAGGACTACTTATTTATTGCACTAGAATATATGACTATGTCTTCAAGTTTTATGTGTTGGGAGAGGCAACACAAAGCTACTGCAAGTTAAATTACCTTAAATAAATTTAAAATCCTTTATTAATACAAATAATTGTATTTGTTGTCAATTGCCTTCAATTATTCACATTATACCTTGATTTTAGGATTAGAAAATAGTGAAAATGTGTTTTGTGTATTAGTACAATAATTATCCCAAGGTTTTTCCTAAACCATAGAGAGTAAATATTGGGTTCAGGGAATGGGCAGTAATATAGACCTCAGGCAAATATTTAACTCCTTCCCTACTGACACAGCCCCTTCTCTGTGTGTTCATGTACAATTTTGCAATATTTCTGCTTTAGCAAAAATGAATGAAAAGCAGAGATTGTTCTTGCTCTTTATGGCAACTAATTTTACAATGTTTAACAAGAGATTCAGAAGAGAAGGGAAATAACTCTGCCATGATTTTACACATACTTTGGTACTCTGGTTCACACTGACTGTGAGCCAATCAAATGGATCAAATACCCATGAGCAGAATACAGAAAGTTTCTGAAATCAGGAGGAAAAAAATCTGTGTTGCTGTTGTGCATTATTCCTTTGCTCTGATTAACTATTATAATTATATTTGAATATATAAATTAAAAAACACAGATGATGCAGTCATGAAAAACCCTTACTTTGTCTGGCATAAAAATAAAGGACACAATATATTCAAGAGTGCCCTCTTTCAAGAATATTTTGGTCATTAGTAATAGTGAATTCAAGCATACCATACAAACAGTATGATATTTATGGGGATTAGGCTTCTTGCTCAAACAGGATTGGCCACTGTGTGATAGAGGACATTATATTAATGGGACAGATTTTGAATATTACAACAAGATTTGTACTCGTTAGTACCTTGACAACTCCCACTTTTCTCTTGATTCCCATTGTTAAGAAGCGGACAGCATTCATACTTCTAAAACCCACAAATGGACTTTCATACATGAACTTTTTTTTCATCTGTAATTAGAAAAGTTGTTCTTTCAGATACTAATTTCTCAGATACTAATCCCTGTATTACAAGGCCCTTTTTTCACTAAAGCAGTTGTCTAATGAGATAACCTCTGTGAGCAAAGGCTGTTCATGTAAATAAAGGTTTGGTGGTTCAGGCCCTTGGCTACTAATGACCCTTCTTGCAAAACAATTTATTGTCCCACCAGTGTTTAAATTTAGCACTTGATTGCATATAGAATATGCATGATCCCTTTTTCACCAAGATTGATGTCATCATTTGCCAGCCAGACCAAGCACTCCATGAATGCCAATAACCCTGGTAATAATCTGCTATCTCCCCATGGATTAAGGCCATCTGTGTAGAAGTCTTCCAGGACTTTACATACTCCCCCTACAATAGGTGAAACCTAGTGATGTAAACATGGTTTGAAAACCTAGTGCTGTAGATAGAATGGATTTTACAACCAAAATAAAATAAATTTTTGTTTCATATGCACTGGTAGGTCAGTTAAGATCCTGCAAAGATACTGAAAATGTCTTTCAGAGATTCTGAGCTGGAATAGCTTTACTATGGCTGACAATTCTGCTTCCCAGGCTACCTAGCTCAGAAATAGATATTATCTTTCTTTCCTTTCTTTCTTTCTTTCTTTCTTTCTTTCTTTCTTTCTTTCTTTCTTTCTTTCTTTCTTTCTTTCTTTCTTTCTTTCTTTCTTTCTTTCTTTCTTTCTTTCTTTCTTTCTTTCTTTCTTTCTTTCTTTCTTTCATTCTTTCTTTCTTTCTTTCCCCACATCTTTTAGAAGAAGGTCGTCTGGTTGATATGGACTCACAATTACATCCGTGTCAGGAGATGATTCTTTATGAAGTTTAAGGAAAATTTTACATATTCGTTTTCTATTCTTACTTTTGAAAAATATTCTTGTCTTGTTCTGGTAAAGAAGAAACCTCCCACATGTGATGGTGAGAATTTTAAAAAAGGGGAAAAAAAGGATGCATGTGATGCTGACTGAGGAAGGTTACTAGGCTTTTGCTCAACAGGGTGTTAAATGGTACTAGGAGTAGAACATTATGAAGAAATAAGTAGACAACCTTGAGCTTGCCTGACCAAATACACAGATCTAATTATAACATCAGAATTCTAAAGCTGCACATGTGTACATCTACTAGTGCAAAGTGAATCTGAGTAAAATTATTGCAAATGGAGGAAAGAAGGACAGTATTTTAACTGTAACTATGCACTAAAAATTCACTAAACTTTATTTCATAGCCAATACATTTTAGAACAGCAGGGTCAGAGTAATGACCTTCCACATTTAGTATTTTTCTTTTCTTTATAGTTTACAGAGTTTTCAGGGAATTTGGAGGAGCAGACTTTGATTATATTTTTAGATGGAGAATATGGCTAGTGGCTGGTGAAAGATCAACTAACTGTAGCAGTGGGTTAGAGAGAGAAAAAAGAAATTTTTACTGCTTAGTTAGATTGGAGTGAGGTTTAAGCATAAGCATCCACAATTTAAATCTGATCACATGTTAACAGACCCTCACATGCTTCCTAACACAGTTTGAATGCATTTCAGAGCCAATTCCACACAACAGGCACTCTAGCTTTTGATATGGAATAAAGCACTTGTTCAGTCAAGCCCTATGACTGGGTCAGAGCCAGCCCTGGAGGACAGTGGGCTCGTGCAGCCTCAAACCTGCATCACTTCTGAGTGAGCCAGGGCACTCTGCCATCCCACCAGTGGGGTGGCAAGGGGGAACCTCCGAGAGAGAAAGAAACAACCTCACTTTCCATAGGTCATCCCATGGGCCAAAGGCAGAGTAGTCCTCACATATGCTCACAGATATATCTGGATATTTACAGAGTGTAGAACAGCAACACTATGAAAGGGACACTTAGGATAACAGCCTGGCAGCTGCTGTCTGCAGACAGAAGGCTGGAAGTGAAGGGACTTGAATTTGAGTCTTTCAGCTCTCGGCAGCCTGAGACAGGAGATTTTCTTGTTCATTCCATGCACATATCAAACCTTCCGCTCCCCATAATGTCCTGGCTTTGTTCCAGGGGGGAAATCTAAGAAAGCTGGGAAAGTGTAATGGATGACAAAGCCATTTACCTCTAGCTCTACTAGAAAAAATCCATGCTCAGTCAACTCCAGCTCACTGTGCTGTTCGTCAGCAACATGCATAGCTCAAATTTTGCCCAGGGCCTTTTATATATGTTGGGTTGTTTTTTTTTAATCAACTACTGTATGATGAAGGAAGTTAGCAGCACTCATTATTATTCTGCTCTGCTGTTATTTCCTGGGCCCTGAACATCCAACGGACTTTGGTTTTCTCCCCACTTTTCCACTATTGCAATAGTAAAAGAAATCCTGATACCAGCTGCTGGAAATGCATTTCTCTTGCATTGTTGCATAGCTGAAAGTCTTTGTGGACAGTCTTGTTCTTTCAATTTGTCTGTCACCCTGCTTGTAGCCAGGATTTTAACCACTTTTCTTACAGAATTTTGAATTAAATTTAGAAATTGTATTTTAAAATAAAACTAATTTTTACTAGCTTTGTAGCACTTCAGCTTTTTTCTTCTGAGGCTGTAAATTTGAGTGGGGAGTGAGAATATTAATTTTTAGTTAGATTATCATCCCAAAAGTTCATAAGCACAAAATTGCTTTATGCACATACCTTCTAAACTAGGACCAGAAATGTGAAGGTCCTATTCTATGAGGTGTTGTGCCCTGTAGTCAAATCCAACCCAGGATATAAATTTTACTCAGGAAAGGTAAAGTTAAGTATGTCATTAATTGCCTGTTGGATTGGATCAAGCACCTTGCAGCAGCAGCCCCTCACAGGTGCTTCTTTCCCTCCTTCCCAAAAACCCATGTGGTAAAAGGAGCTGCCCAAGCTGCAGGGCAAATGGCCTCTCCCTTGGCTAGAGCCCTCCATCCTATGAACTGCATGATCACCTTTTAAAACAGAAAAGGCTCTGACAGGCAGATGAGCTCACGGTTTTCCCTCCATTGTTCCTGGCATTTTCCTGCTCTCATGCACGATGTGCTTGCGAATAATCCTTTTGTACAGAAATAGCATTGTTTCAGAAGTGCTTATTTTACCAGTGGTAATCAGCAAGAAAGCAGTTGTTTACTGTGATTTCATTTTAAACTTGCTTCACCACTGTGTTTATTAGACTCTACTGGAGAACCATGTAATCTTTTATTACTGGGCTCTTCAGTTTTCTCTCTGTATCTTTCTGCTAAGTTTTATTATACTCTGTGCCATGTCAAGTCTGAAATTAGACTGAAAACACATTGGGAAAGCAACTGAATGATCTGATTTTAATCAAGAGGTGCTCTGAGAGAACATAAAACTCTCTCCAAAATAAAATAAAGCCAACTGGAGCATCTGGATATAAGAAGAAAATATCAATGCAATAAACACTCAACAAAGTTGGCCAGTTTTTTTAAAGCTCTATAGGAACATGTTTGGATGTAGTAATATCCTTGCATGATAGCAGGAGGCTGATTAGCTGTTTTGTACTCCAAGAAAGTATTGATACCATAACTTTTCTTTGTGTGCTTAGGTAAGACTATGCCAAGGAATCCTGTTTCCTACTTCTTCTGACCTTCACACTTCAGCAGTTAAAATTAGGCCTCTAAATAATTGCTATGATACAAATATTTTTCCTTGCCTTGAGGAGCCCAGGAGTAAAGCTTAGCTAATCTACCTCTCACCACCTTTGTGGGTCATGCTGGAAAAACATCAGTGTAAAAAGGAAAAGTTTGGAAAGCAAAGGGAAAACTAAGCTGACAGAACAGGGAAGACTGAGTCTACAGGATGGAGGAAATATGGCAAAAATTAATGTTTTTACAAAATAATGCGTTTTGTGGAACTAAGAAGTGCAGGTGGAACATAGGAGGTGCAGTGTAGAAGTGACAATCATAAATAGATATTATTTGAGGAGCAACATATAACAGTTTGAAGAGAGATTTCAAGAAATTGAAATTGCATAACTGAAAATTATACAACATAAAAATATCATTTGTCATTTCAATCACAGGCCTATACAGACATAGTGCTATATGTGGTTTCAGCTGCTGTAGTTAGAAAAATATGTAATAATTCTTATAAGAATACACATTTAAAATTTCCATAAACTGTGATAGCATGAAAAAACAGATAAATGTTAGGGTATTTCTCACGTAGGCAGGTATCATCTGCCACTTTCAATCGTATGTCTGTCATATTTACTCCACAAGTTTGAGGAAGAGTAGGACATTTACCACAAAGTGTGTGTTAAAGGAGGGCATAAACTCTCAGAAACAGGCAGCAGGAGAATAGGATGTCTCCCTAATGAGAGGAAATGTAGAGACACAGCTGAGATAGGATAAAAAGCTGTATTACATGAAGTCTTTTAGGAAAAGAATAATGAAGGGAAGGGAAGGGAAGGGAAGGGAAGGGAAGGGAAGGGAAGGGAAGGGAAGGGAAGGGAAGGGAAGGGAAGGGAAGGGAAGGGAAGGGAAGGGAAGGGAAGGGAAGGGAAGGGAAGGGAAGGGAAGGGAAGGGAAGGGAAGGGAAGGGAAGGGAAGGGAAGGGAAGGGAAGGGAAGGGAAGGGAAGGGAAGGGAAGGGAAGGGAAGGGAAGGGAAGGGAAGGGAAGGGAAGGGAAGGGAAGGGAAGGGAAGGGAAGGGAAGGGAAGGGAAGGGATAGGCTGTAACTTGCCTAATAAAGTGATTGGGAGACATGGAGATCTGGTTTATGAGCAAATGAATAGGTCATTAAAGAAGAATGAATTAAAGATCAGAGTGTAAAGGGCCAACATAGTGCAGAACAAATGCTGGGAATTGTAACCTTGTTAGTACAGAAAACTATGAAACAAATTGGACAACTAGGTTTTCTTCTCCATGCTTGTCAGGTGCATAAAGACTGTGTACATGACTGCTGCATCCACAAAATACAGCATTCAAATCACCTTGAAAGAGATCTTGTTTTTTAAAACGTATTTTTTGTTCTACTGGGACAAGTAGAAGGGAGAAAAATGGGCTTTGTACTTTTATTTGAGGGATCTATTCCCTTGGAAAGATATCCCTTTAAGGCAGTATGTATTTCTATGATAATTCACCAAGAACCAAGTTTTGCACCTGTAGGCAAGCAGACCACTGACAGAGGACAAGACTTTTACAATGTAGTTAAAGGAATAACAAAGATATCCTGTTATTTAAAAGAAGAAAGAGGAAGAAAAGGAGAAAAATAATGAAGAAGGAAGAAAAAGGGCAATCCACTATTTCTAAACAGTCATGTTGTAATATTGAGTGTCTTACACTTCTCTTATGGAGGTCCATGCTTTCACTTCTCAGGGCATCTTCAGTTTCTCATAGGCCTGAACCTGTGGTCTTCTGAGTAACTACTCATGAAAATCTTTAATTTTTTATTCTATTTCTTAACAACATTTGATGACAGAGAAACAAAGGAGTTTGTGGGATGTCAATGGGATGTTTTGAAGCTAAGCTATTGTTTGAGCCAATGCAATGGTTAGATTGCCTTTCCAGATTAAAAAAGTCCTGGAAAAGGAGAAAATGAGATTAACTGTCTAGTTTCAACTGAACACATTTGTGTATTTCATACCAACTAAAATGTACTGACTAAAGAAAAAATAGACAAGTGGCTTTAACTTAATTTAGTAATTACATATGGTATTTTCACATTAAAAGAAAAGGCTAATTAATAACAACTGTCGTTTAAAACCCAGCTACTTTACAAAAGTACATTTCTCTATAGATTTCCATCTGGTTTTTACTATTACTAGATTTGGACACAACATCAATACCTAAATAATTAATTGTTTGATAGACTAAGCTTCATTTGAGCTGTTCCAGTCTATTATTCAAATTGTATAATATTAAAATTTACTGATACGTATTTAATTGGAAGATGACAGCATCTCTTATTAGCTACTTAAACCAAGACCAACAGCTGAAAAATATCAGCATGAAAGCTATACGAGCAAAAATCTTGCAAACCAAAGAATTATGCTTGTTTGCTGAGATCTTACACTGAACAAAATCACTTCAACCCACAAATAACTACCATGTTAGTGAGTAATTAAAGCAAGGGACAAAGTCAGGACTACAATATTATATTCCCAATTCAGCTACTGACTCACAGTATGATTTTACTCCTTTACCACCTATAAAATGGAAGATGTGATAATGACAGGGATAATAATGCCTACATAAAAGAAGTGCTAGGAGTCTTAATGTTTGAAAAGAGCTTTGAGATGGAGCTGCTATATAAACACAGATTATAATTAACAAGGGACTGGAAGCTTGCACAACTGGTACGTTCTTTGGGCTTTCAGAAGCAAAGATAGGTGAACTCTGTATATCTGAGAAACCACGAGTCCTCTGTTGTAAGAGCTTCTTTGGGAAATTATGTTTCACAGCTGCCATTACACTGTATTGGAGCCAGGCTTTTAAGAGGACCTAACTATTTGCCAGTCATTAACACAAGAAACTTTAAAGGCCGTTCAAAATAATCTTATCACTGTGACTACTGGCTCCAGCTTGTCATATTGTATTTTCTTCATAGTAGATATGTGTAACAATGAATTTATATGAAAGACAGGAGAACATGAGCACATGGATCTGGAGAAGAGGTTCAGTGCCTTAGTGAATGCCGAGTGCCTGAGGCATAGGTGAGCTTGGAGGTTTTCTTATACTATAAATCTGTGCTGACAAAGTCTCTGAAAATGGTCAAACACAGCCCCAACAATCATTTTCCTGACCAGTTTGGACATCTGCTCTGAGCATAGTGATATTCTTCTGTTGTTGAAAGCCTTTGAAAATAATGGGTTGCATTAGAACAGAAACCTAGTGAAAATATGAAAAAGATGCTTTAGAAAGGTGAAGTGTCCCTTGATGAAAGGCAGTCAAACAGTAGCTTTGGAAAGATAATATACTCAACAAAAGTTAGAATAATAATAAGAAACAGATGTATGGATTATAGAAATTTTTAGAGCACAGCACGGTGTCACTCTGTTAAACAAGTCAAAGGCATCTGCAAAGGTACCTTGGTCTCTTTTTCTTATATAATCAATTAGATGTTTTTAACAAACTAAATCAGCTAAGGAAAAGAAGTGTCTGTAAGTTTTCTTTGTGTGCAAAAAAAAAATTATTAGTGCAGAGGAGCAGCAAAAACATCTTTTAATAGCTTGTTTTGTAGGAAAAACATGTACAGGACTAGATTTGTGTAAGGCTGGCAGACTACAGGAACATGAAGTGATACTAAAGGGGTATTGTAGGTATACATTTTTCTGAAAGATATTTCAGTGCATAACATTCCCAATCAATTTCTATTTCCCCCAAAACATGGAAATCTCTCAGACCTTCATGAAATTAAAAATCTTCTAAGTAAAGCCTATAATAAAATGGTTTGATTCTTCTCAGTTAGTTATGTTTTATTATCAATAATTAGGTTACAACATCAGAAGTCCCCATCAAGTCAATGTCATGATACCGAGACATTAAAGAGGGATCGTACTTTACAAGAGCACAATTTGATTAAACGTAACAACAAGGTTTAGTGATTTAGTTAAGGCCACAGAAAGGATCAGTGGCAGAAGAAGAGCAGCCCATGGATTGCAACATTTGCAATGTACATATGGAGCATAAAGACAATGCTTCCAGCATAAATTGGTAGGCCACTGCAAACCTGAAGAACTTAAAAAGCTGTAAAGATCTTGCATCCAATTTAGCTGCTGTGCCATGTTAGCTTTCATTGCCCCACTTATCTCTGTTTAGCCAGGTCTCTGCAGCTGCATCCTCCTTATTTTATAGCTCTATTTTGTTGTTTATCATTTCAGAGTTGAAGAACAGTTAGCTGGTGACAGGAATAACCACAGAATCCCAAGAAATGTCATGGGGAAGAAAGAACAGGATGGGCACAAAACATGTCCTTAGTGTTGCAAGATTTCTTACTGCTGAAAGAGTTAATTTTGTGACAGAGTCAAAAAAAATGCTCACATTTCTGCAGAAGAAAAAAAAACATAGAATGCTGCTATTTTCCTCTTAAAAAAATTGAATAAATGATCATGTGTCAGTGAGTAAGAAAGATTGGGAGGAAATGCATTTCATGAAGATTCTATTCTGTAGCTGCCTTTTAGTCTTTTCTGAACATCTATCTGAAATGCTCAGCCCCATTCTCAGCAATAGCCTATATACTGCTTGTGTGAGGGTTGTTTTTCTGTCCTTAATTGAGCAGAAAGTATGGTGCATCTGATTTGTTAGTCACTTTACTGGGGAGCAGGATCTTGGGAGAGATTTCTGAGGACAGCAAGTGGGATAAACCCAGACAGAACCGACATAAAACGTGAAATGTAAACCACAAAACTTCTGTGGATGGAAAAGAGCCATTTGTGCTGTTGTACTAAACACAACATTTGCCAGGATTTTTCCCATGGAACACTGAGAACTATGGGAACACATGAGGACCCCAAATCCACAGCGATAAGAGCAACAATTTCCTTATTTGTACCCTTATTTGTGATAAGGGTTCTTGTCATTTGCCCCTCAGAACCCCTTTGCCACTTCTGTTTTTCTACATTAAAATAACTTTGATGGGCATTGCTTGCAATAAGAAGGGAATTTCAGAGATGTTCCAAAACTACAAAGAGTTGCAATGAATGCTTCAGAGACTGTGGTTAAGCCGTATCCAATGCTTGTTTCATGCTGTATTGATCCTGGCACTGCTCTTTCCAGCTTAGAAAATGGTAGATTTCCTATTTTTCAGCCTCATATTGCCATGACCCTCCTGAGTAAAGCTGAGTAGGAGGCACAGAAGTGTGTATCAGTGGAGACTGCTCATTTGTGAGGGTGGCTGGGCAGCATCCAAATGAGCAATATTTTATGATATTTTATATATTTTACTGTAAATATTTTATAATATTTTAATTTAAAATAGTCAATATTTTATGAAAAAAAAAGTCTTACAGAAGATTGACTGCCTCTTCTTTCTATCCAGACTGGTGCTCTCCTTTTGCCTTACCACAGCTCAGTCATTAATACTCATCTTGCTTCAAGCTTCATTCACATTCTTCCTAGCATCCTCAGCAGGCAGCTGGCGTGACTGCTTCCATCCTCTTTTTCAGTGTCAGTCTTCCCCAGAGTTTCCAGGCCCTGTGTCTGATCCCAAGGCCCTGTTAATGTGGATGGGAGAGCTTTGTAGGCTGGATGTGTCATGTGTCCATCACTGGATCTCACACATACTTCAGTGGTAATCTCTCCATTCTGGAAATTTTGTATCTGAAGCCTAGGACACACTTCAGATTTGAGCTATAGAGAAATAAGGTCTGTGGTTTCAAGACAGTGGAGTCAGGAGGTTGGGAACACAGTTCATGTAAATTGTATATATGCACTCAAGAGAATTTCTACAGCTGAACAAGGCATACATGGTATTTTATATATGGTTTGGTGTAGGTGAAAAATGTCCTAAAGTT